CTTTAAATTCAGGACTTTTAATTTAAGATAGACATTTTGTGATGAAATTTAATTTTGTTAGTAATGTGTCTATATTAAATAGAAAAACATTCGTGAAAATAAATGCACACGCTTTTCCCTGAAAAATTCCCAATAATCCGCTTTTTTACCCTCTAAACTGCGGACGACCCTTCAAGGGTGATCTAGATTTTTAAAAAGATCCACGGCTAACTGTTCATCTTGTTCACATTTCTAGGTGCGTTCGTTGACACCGTTTTAAGAATTTCAACGTCACAGCCACGTGAACGAAGTCACACATACGCGGACACCTGTCGATTCCGCCATGGTCTCAGCCGAAATGCAAACATCCGATGGAAAACACGGCGATGAAAACGGAGAGGAAAATGTTGGGAATAAATGCATAGAAAAGTCGTCGACTGACGCGACCGTAGTCCATGATCTTGAGCAGCATTCTTGTGTCGTGGGAGTCCTTCGCATAATTAACGCGACAAAAGAATGCAACGGTGAAAGAGAAGGCTTAGGAGGAGCGGAGAAAAATGGAGTTATGTTGTCGAGAAAAGGACGGACGTATCCGTGAAAAGAAAAGGAGAAAGAGAGCAGGAAGTAGTTATCAAGAGAGAGAAAAAAAGAGGAATACAAATAACGACGATAGAATACCGAGCGACATAATTAATGATTTCTCCGTAGTAATTAGCGTTTTCACTGATCTTGACTGGGACGTTAGTTCCTTCCTCGAGCTGCGTACATATTTACTCTTACTTTGCATCGCGATGAATACGTTATGAACAACGTTTCTTCGTAACCGACATTTGCTATCGGTCGACAACCTTCTGTGTGGACAATATAAATATTGTTCAATTTCGTAGCAGTTTGAAAAGGAATACTAGGGTCCCAATTACTGCCAGTGTCCCTAATACTGCCACTTTATTTGTTTTACTTGATCGAAACGTAATGTATAAAGAATTGTGTAGAAAAAATTTGGATTCTGATTTACGCAACGCTCTTGTCTTGAATTCTCAACAATACTCGAACTTCATGTTAATCTTAATTTTAACGGAATTCTCTAAAAAAAAAATCGGTCCTTAAGCGGTTAAGAATAAGGTAAATGAGAATCGGAAAACAAAAGATTTGGTGACGATTTAGGCAAAGATTATTAATATATTTATAAATAGAAAGCATAGAATCGACGGCTCATCTATGATTCACATATAAATAAACAATTATCTTAAAAGCAGGTGAACTAAAAGATTGACAATTCGTTTCAATAAAAAGAAACATGCACAATTTACCATATTCTTGATAAAAGAAAACTTTCGTGAGTTTAATAAATACAACGACAGTTTTTCGTAGTAATTTCTTTTTGAATATCTGAAATGTTAAATTAAAAATTGTTATATCGAGAAGAAACGCGTTAAGATGTTCCGTGTTAGGTGTTGAAGGAACGAAGACCGCGTTGAATAGATCGTGAAGCTTCAATGAATAACTGTGAATGAGATCCAATGTACTTTCGAGTACGAAGCCCCGCACACGTACTTACTAGTGCACATATTATCGAAAGGATCTTGGCCTCGCGCGAATTTAATTATAATGAAAATGTGTCGCGCGGCACTTTCTCTCGTCGAAGAAAGAAACGAGGGAATATGTGTGTAAACGAACCGAACATACTCTCTAAACCTAGCACCTCATTAATTTTTTAGTGTTACGTTTTCACACAGGAAGACGATTAGAAGTGTTCGTCAAATTAAAACCACTACTGCTGGTCGTAAAAATTCATATAAAGATAAAGTATATAAATTCCACAGAGAAACTAATTTGAGAATAGGATGCTAATTCAATTTGGTTGAAGTTTTAAAGTCTGTTTTTCTTAGAATCTATGTATTTTTCGTTTTTCAAGAAACTGATATTTTATGTAAAACTAACCGTTTCCCGTGGCTAAAAAGTAATTAAAGCATTTCATAGCGTAAATAATTACATAAAACCATAAATTTGGCATAAACATTCTCAGTTTAGTAATTACACATTTTTCGTTATGTAAGCAAGAAGACTCTTTTAAATAAGTTCACTTCCCTTCGCGCACAAAATAAATGAAATATTCACGTACATTATGATTCCTACAAATTACGTAACTTGAAATTATCTTTAAGGACACATCCATTTTTTATTATATTGCACAGACCGAAATACCATTTTCTTGGAGCGAAGAAAATGTTTCATGACAGATGCAACAAATTTATTAGATTACATAAAAAAACACTTCTCGAAATATTCTACAGTTTTATGGATTAAACTAGAAAAAAATATTTTCTTTTCTATAGAAGAATAAATCTAGAATGCTGAAATATAGTCGAACCGACGAAAAAACTTTTTACTTTAATTGCCAGGAATTGTAACGAATTACATAAAACATATGTCGGGCAATGTTCGACATACCGTTTAAATGTGTTGCGAGAGATTTGAAAGCATTTTCTGCAACTGTGATCCATATTATAGGACGAAGGTGGGTGCAACGGATAACGGAATGCCTTGGATACCACCCACGACCGAGATCACTAGCATTTCGCATATGGCCGTTATCCAAGGGTAATTTTCGCAACGTGGGAATCCACGACCTTTCGTTTCTACATTCACGATTAATCTCAACTGAATAGCGGGAAAAGCCGCGGGTCTTTCCCCAACTAGCTCACGTGACGCTTTATTGTTCGAAATGATTAAAAAATTGTTAGAAGTGGAAAATTATGTAACAAGCAATACTATTTCTTCGACATACGTATGTAACAGCTATCATAAGTTTAACACTAGAACTACCAACGTTGAACATATACTGAATTAAATTGTATAATACAATAATATAGTTTCACTTAAAAAAAAATAGTTTCGTGCTACGACAAGTGCATATATTGAAACGAAAATTGTATTGTAAAGTTACGATGTAGATAATACGGATGAAAATTAATAAAATAACCAATTTATAACACAATTCCCAGAACTTTGAAAACACCCCTCCTATATGTTATATCTATTGTTTAAAAAAAAATCAACCGATGACGAATAGTAAAAGATTCTAATAGGGAAACTGTATCTATTTAATACGCAGCATCTACTGACTTAAAGTATGAATAACGAAAAGACTTACTTGAAATTGTAGATATCCATCGATGAAATCATTATCCATAGTCACTGGTTCGAACAGAACTATGTTAGACGCCTACGTATGTATGTACGAACCTCAAGGAAGTACACGGCGATTATTATTAGTACACTTTCCCCGACGGTGTTCCTTATCTGCGGCTCGGACAATACGCGTATGAGCCGTAATCAGAAGCGTATGTTCGTTAACGACCCTACCCGCGACTTCCTTGAGCCCTTCGAAGATCGTTCGTTCTCCAGCGGTTATTATCCGAACGCGTGAATCGCGTGACCAGCGTTGTCCCACAGCCGTGAACGCGGGACTACGTGCGTTATTTCCTGCAGAAAGAATTTTTTTTTTTCGTTTTCGGTCGCCGAGGCGTCATTTTTTTTTTATAAAGTTACTTTAAAGTCTTACAAAAGAAGTAAATTGAAGTAAATATGTAATAAAGTAGAATTAAAAGTTTCATTAATGAATTTTAATGTTCTCATAGACTGCCAATCATTTGCTTTATTCAACCTGAGCACGTATATTATATAAACTGTCAACGTTTCTTGTGTAATATACTTGATTACAGTGGAATCTTAACTGATTATGTTAAGGTGATCGTTAAGAAATATGTAATAGATACTCGAAACACTAAAAACGGATATTAATGAAACTGTCTGAAATACAGTCGTGTTACATGTAACATTAACTGTATAATTTTTTCTTACATAAAGCGTTCTGTAATATTTTATTCGAATAAGTGACTGTTGGCTACAAGTTACCACATATTCTTAACGCCATTTAATTAATGCAGGTTCGGTAAAACCTACAATTCCTTTCCGCCATTGTGTATCCAGGTCAATAAGTTCATAGTACTAGCCTTCCGTCAAGTATGAAATGCACCATAATCGAAATTACATTCCTTTTTATGATTTTTATGTCAACGTTCAATGTTCAGCCATACCGCCAATAGCAAAAACGTCCACACTTCTACTTGCGAATAATTTGAAACATATTTCTTTAATTATACGATGCATCAAAATAATCGTATGAATTATTACCACAGATTAAAATTACAAACAATAAAACAATTTATGTACACACTATATATTATGTTTTGTTTCCCTTTGTTCACAAGTTCGTTCGCCAAGTAAATCAGTTTACTGCAAGAGAAAGTGATCACGAGTTTGTGCATTATATTAAAATCTAGTTTCCACCAAGAAGATTGTGCACAGAGCGTATTTTTGTAGACTGGATTTTGTGTGTAACAAAAAATTCAAAGAAAGCTGTGCTATTCACTTTCGCAAGTATGCATACAATTAAAACGAAAGTAAACATTGCAGTATCTTAACTATTTTTAAGTGAATGCAATACGATGAAAGAATTGAAACATACATAAAAACAACCCATCTTAAGGGATACAAAAAATTGGTGAATACATGTATATTTCTTACCGACACCACGATCTGTAAAACTTTAGTGACATACAATACTAATTAATTTTCAAAATATAAATAATACTATTATTGATATTACATGTATTAAAATACTTCGTATACCTACTTTTCAAGCTGTTCGGTTACCAGAAACGCGGTTTTCCAGTGAAACCGTAGTACCATTAGAACATTTCATGCATCTTTAAAAAGCTAACGTGCAATTATAATAAGTGTAGCATCAAAATGTTTTCTGTGAAGAGGATAGCTTTACCATAATTCCATATAATTACATAAAACAAAAATAATTAAAAGTAATGGACTTAATTTTTATAAAGAATAGACAACGCGAGTCTAAATTAGTTTGATAATAAAAATAGGGGTGTCTCTGTGAAATAAGTACACATGATAGAAAAAAAACTAAAGGAAAAATTCACAACTGTACAACAAAGTTATCTTTCATGGAGATGCTTTAATGGAGACAAGTGCATTACAAGATTGTGTCCTTACATATAATTGGATCAATACAACTTGCCACTCTTGTTACTATATACGAATAAAGAAATACATACTGACAGCAAGTAGTACCGAACACGAAATGTATATAAAAAAAAGTAGTATAATGTCACTATCAATACTATCAATTTTTCTAGAAATTGCTGATCGAGATGTTATTCCCAGCAGTCAGTTTGAAGACTTTCATAGAGTTCCTAACTGCAAAGTGTCTCTGTTGTTCGACTGGTCATCTACATCAAACTGACTACCAGGAGAGTTAATTTCCCATTGATTAACTAGAATGTACTTTTTCATCAAAGACAGTAAAATTTTGCATTCCCCCCCGAAGACGTAATACTAAATGCAATGTAGACTCCTTTTGGATGTTGTAGTCTGAGAGCGTTCTCCCGTCTTCCAGTTGTTTGCCAGCAAAGATCAAACGCTGCTGGTCTGGAGGAATTCCTTCTTTATCCTGAATCTTCGCTTTCACGTTTTCTATTGTGTCTGAAGCCTCTACCTCCAGGGTGATGGTTTTCCCTGTGAGCGTTTTTACAAAGATCTGCATTCCTCCTCGAAGTCGCAGCACCAAGTGAAGCGTGGACTCTTTCTGGATGTTGTAGTCTGAGAGCGTTCTCCCATCTTCCAGTTGCTTGCCAGCAAAGATCAAACGCTGCTGGTCTGGAGGAATTCCTTCTTTATCCTGAATCTTCGCTTTCACGTTTTCTATTGTGTCTGAAGCCTCTACCTCCAGGGTGATGGTTTTCCCTGTGAGCGTTTTTACAAAGATCTGCATTCCTCCTCGAAGTCGCAGCACCAAGTGAAGCGTGGACTCTTTCTGGATGTTGTAGTCTGAGAGCGTTCTCCCATCTTCCAGTTGCTTGCCAGCAAAGATCAAACGCTGCTGGTCTGGAGGAATTCCTTCTTTATCTTGAATCTTTGCCTTCACATTCTCTATTGTGTCTGAAGCCTCTACCTCCAAGGTGATGGTTTTCCCTGTGAGCGTTTTTACAAAGATTTGCATTCCTCCTCGAAGTCGAAGCACCAAGTGAAGCGTGGACTCCTTCTGGATGTTGTAGTCTGAGAGGGTTCTCCCGTCTTCCAGTTGCTTGCCAGCAAAGATCAAACGCTGCTGGTCTGGAGGCATTCCTTCTTTATCTTGAATCTTCGCTTTCACGTTTTCTATTGTGTCTGAAGCCTCTACCTCCAGGGTGATGATTTTCCCCGTGAGCGTTTTTACAAAGATCTGCATTCCTCCTCGAAGTCGCAGCACCAAGTGAAGCGTGGACTCTTTTTGGATGTTGTAGTCTGAGAGCGTTCTCCCGTCTTCGAGTTGCTTGCCAGCAAAGATCAAACGCTGCTGGTCTGGAGGAATTCCTTCTTTATCTTGTATCTTCGCCTTCACGTTCTCTATTGTGTCTGAAGCTTCTACCTCCAGGGTGATGGTTTTCCCTGTGAGCGTTTTTACAAAGATCTGCATTCCTCCTCGAAGTCGCAGCACCAAGTGAAGCGTGGACTCTTTCTGGATGTTGTAGTCTGAGAGCGTTCTCCCATCTTCCAGTTGCTTGCCAGCAAAGATCAAACGCTGCTGGTCTGGAGGAATTCCTTCTTTATCTTGAATCTTTGCCTTCACATTCTCTATTGTGTCTGAAGCCTCTACCTCCAAGGTGATGGTTTTCCCTGTGAGCGTTTTTACAAAGATTTGCATTCCTCCTCGAAGTCGAAGCACCAAGTGAAGCGTGGACTCCTTCTGGATGTTGTAGTCTGAGAGGGTTCTCCCGTCTTCCAGTTGCTTGCCAGCAAAGATCAAACGCTGCTGGTCTGGAGGAATTCCTTCTTTATC